AGGCAACTGTCTTCAATAACTTCTTCTTTAAAGGAAAATCCCCGTTTTAACTTCTCCCAGGCTGACTGTAATTTAACCCTTACTGATGTGGGCTCCGCTACCGGGTCGAACTGCGTCTCGAAGCACAGAGTGGACCTACCAGTAAAGGCTTAGATATTCTCCAGCTGGAGTTCTTTGGTCTTTAGGGCTGTTTTCCTGGAAATTCTTTGGAGACTCTTAAGACTTTTCTCCCCCGGAAGGTCTTAAGGGTTGAAGCTTTTGTAAAGGGGAAGCTTGCACACATCCTATACATAAGTTTACCTTGCTGAGACTAACTAAAAATGGCTCCCTTCCCTTCCCAATTGCCCTGAGCAAGGGGCGGGACCAAAACATAACAATGATGGACAGGTGACTTGCCCTATGACTGCAACCAAAGAAGCCACCTATCTGCAGAGTCCCTGAAACCTAGGACTGCAAGCAAACATTTAATACAAAGCAAATAAAGTTGGAGCTCCTGGTACAGCTGTACCAGAACAACTACATCGGCTATTGCTGCAAGTAATGACAGTGTGAATAAATTGCTAATATTTGCTTGAGATAGTGCTTGCAGTTCTGGAGGGACTCTTGATTTTTTGCATCTCATAGACTTTGCAGGGGGATTTAGTTAACCAGTTAAAATTCATGAGTAAACCAGGTTTTTAAAAACATCTGAAACATTTCGGGGGGGGGGGGTTGAACCCCCTAACCCCCCCCCCCCCCCCCCCCTCGCTACAGGCCTGACCCCTGGTCTAAACCAAACCCAAACCAGCTCTGATCCAATTCCAGCCCTGGCATGCAGTTCGCCTCTGGTCCAGAGAGAATCTAAGAGCGGCCGGTAGAGGGCGCTGCGGGGCCGGCTTTGGCTGCGAGGCCAGGCTGGGTGGTGGGAGGGGAGCGGAAAGTCTCAGCGGGGCAGAGCCAGGAGAGTCCCAAAGTGAGCCCGGCTGCGTGCTCTGGCGCTTCTCATAGCGGCGGCAGGGGTCTCTCTGCGGCATCGGACTCTTCCCGGGAAGCCTGCCCTACAGTTGTGTCTCTCGCGGGCGGAGGCGTGCTTTGGGGGGCAGCTTCCACATCTGAACTGAGACCGGGACCCCGGAGGGAAGAGGAGGGAAGAGGAGGGACGAGGGGAGCCCCCTTTGCGCCGGGGAGCATGGCGGGGCGGCTCCGGAGGGGCTTGAAGGGGCTGCTGTGGCTGTTCTCCTTGGCGTCCGTCTCCTCCTACAACATCGACCTGGAGCGCCCCGTGATCTTCCAGGGACCCAACAACTCTTTCTTCGGCTACTCCGTGCTGGAGCATTACTACGATAGCACGAGATGGTGAGTCGCAGCGTCGCCCTCCCTTTCCTTGCTTGGACCCCAGAAGGAGGCATTGAGCCTGCTTCCCAAGGCCGGGCTTCCCGGTGGGAGTGAGAGGGAGCGCCCTCATCTTCTGGCCCTCGCTTCCAGCTTCCCTCCTGCTTCCTTCTCCATCCCAACTTCAAGGGTTTCCTTGCATGCTGTGCGACACTTAGCCAATAGACATGTAATGGCTCAGATCACAGTCCAAGGGCTCTTGGAATCATGTGTTGTCGAAGGCTTCCATGGCCACAATCACTGGGTTGCTGTGAGTTTTCTGGCCATGTTCCAGAAGCATTCTCTCCTGACGTTTCGCCCACATCTATGGCAGACATCCACAGAGGTTGTGAGGCCTGTTGGAAACGAGGCAAGTGAGGTTTATATATCTGTGGAAAGTCCTGGGTGGGAGAAAAAACTCTCCTCTGCTTGAGGGAAGTGTGAATGTTGCAATTGGCCACCTTGATTAGCATTGAAAAGTCTTGCAGCTTCAAGGCTTGACTGCTTCCTGCCCGGGGGAATCCTTTGTTGGGAGGTGATTAGCTGTCCCCGATTGTTTCATAGAATCATAGAGTTGGAAGAGACCTCATGGGCCATCCAGTCCAATCCCCTGCCAAGAAGCAGGAAAATTGTATTCAAAGCAGATGGCCATCCAGCCTCTGTTTACAAACTTCCAAAGAAGGAGCCTCCACCACACTCCGGGGCAGAGAGTTCCACTGCTGAACAGCTCTCACAGTCAGGAAGTCCTTCCTAATGTTCAGATGGAATCTCCTTTCCTGTGGTTTGAAGCTATTGTTCTGCGTCCTAGTCTCCAAAGCAGCAGAAAACAAGCTAGCATTGAAAACTAGCATTGAAAAGTCTTGCAGCTTCAAAGCCTGGCTGATTGCTGCCAGGGGAACACCTTTGTTGGGAGGTGTTAGCTGGCCCTGATTTGTTGATTTGTTTCTGGGTTGTTGTAGGTTTTTTCGGGCTATATAGCAGCCAGATTACTAACAGGAGCTGGGTACAGGGAGCATATTACTCCTCTGTTGCGCCAGCTCCATTGGCTGCCAATTAGCATCCGAGCACAATTCAAAGTGCTGGTGTTAACCTATAAATCCCTAAACGACTCCGGCCAAGTTTACCTGCCCGAACGGATTCTTCCCTATGAACCATCAAGATTGTTAAGATCGTCTGGAGGGTCCCTGCTCTCGGTCACACCAGCCTCGTAAGCGTGCCTGGTGGGGACGAGGGACAGGGCCTCCTCGGTGGTGGCCCCTTGGCTCTGGAACTCCCACCCACTGGAGATTAGAACTGCCCCTTCTCTCCTGACTTTTAGAAAACAGGTGAAAACCTGGCTCTGGAAACTGGCATTTGACGAGTGAGTCAATAACTCGTGGCTATATGGATGGATGGTGATGAACAACAATTTTATTGTGACGACTTGGCCATTGTAATTATATGATTGTATTTTTGGTATTTTAATGTGTTAGTGTATTACAGAATGTGATGTTTTTAAACGATTGCTTGTGATATTATTGTTGGAAACTGGCCTGAGTCCTTCCACGCAGGTTCTAAATAAATAAATAAATAAATAATATATATATATATATATGGCTATATAGCCCGAAAAAACCTATAACAACCCAGTGATTCCGGCCATGAAAGCCTTCGACAATTCGTTTCTTTTCCTGCTTTTTATCAATGTATGTATTTTATATATGGCATCGAATTGTGCCAACTCTGTACGCCCCCCTGAGTCGCCTTTGGACTGATATGGGCATGATAGAAATAGCGTAAATAAATAAAATATAAATAAAAATTATGCGTTTGTGGGATTAACAGAACTCAAAAACCACTTGACGAATTGACACCAAATTTGGACACAAGACACCTAACAACCCAATGTATGTCCTTCACTCAAAAAAATGATTTTGTCATTTGGGAGTTGTAGTTGCCGGGATTTATAGTTCACCTACAATCAAAGAGCATTCTGAACCCCACCAATGATGGAATTGAACCAAACTTGGCACACAGTTCTCCCATGACCAACAGAAAATACTGGAAGGGTTTGGTGGGCAGTGTCCTTTGGTTTTGGAGTTGTAGTTCACCTACATCCTGAGAGCACTGTGGACTCAAACAATGATGGATCTGAACCAAACTCTACACGAATACTCAATATGCCCAAATGTGAACACTGGTGGAGTTTGGGGAAAATAGAATCTTGACATTTGGGAGTTGTAGTTGCTGGGATTTATAGTTCACCTACAATCACAGAGCATTCTGAACCCCACCAACAATAGAATTGGGCCAAACCTACCACACAGAACCCCCATGACTACCAGAGTGGGCTACAGCAACATGTGGCAGGAGACGGCTAGTCTATATCAATAAAAATGTAATGTTCGTTTGTGGGATTAACATAACTCAAAAACCACTGGGCGAATTGACACCCAATTTGGACACATGACACCTATCAGGCCAACGAGTGACCATCACTCATAAAAACACTGAAAAACACACCGAAAAAAACAACTCCAACCCCAAAAGGCTGTTAGGAATTGTGGGAGTTGAAATCCAAAATCCCTGGAGGGCCCAAGTCTGCCCCTACCTGGTCTACACCGTGGAATTATTCCACAGCATTGAGCCATGGTAGTTAAAGGGGCCCCATAGGCCATCCAGCCCAACCACTTTTTGCAGACACCATCAAAGCCCTCCCAACAGATAGCCATCTAGTTGGAAAGGAGCCCCTAAGGCCATCCAGTCCAACCTCATTGGGCGGTAAAGGAAGACACAATCAAAGCCTACTCAACAGATGGCCAACCAGTTGGAAAGGAGCTCCAAAGGCCATCCAGTCCAACATCATTGGGTGGTAAAGGAAGACACAGTCAAAGTCTACCCAACAGATGGCCAACCAGTTGGAAAGGAGCCCCAAAAGCCATCCAATCCAACATCATTGGGTGGTAAAGGAAGACACAATCAAAGCCTACCCAACAGATGGCCAACCAGTTGGAAAGGAGCCCCAAAGGCCATCCAGTCCAGCCCCCTTTGGCCCCTTAAAAATGTGTGTGTGTCCTCTGACCATCCTACTTACCTACCTATCTATGTTCTATCCATCTATCTTCTGTTCCTTCTATCAATGTCCCTTCCATATGTCTCTTCTGTCTATTGTTTCATGCCTGGAATTCCTCTGTTTTCTGAGGGCCATAGCAACGCGTGGCAGGGGACAACTAGTAAATAAATAGATAAATTGTTGTCTGGAATTCCCCTGCTTTTTGAGTGTTGCTCTTTATTTACTGTCCTGATTTTAGAGTTTTAATTATACCATAGTTTAAGAGTCTGTGTAGTCAACATGAGCTGGGAAAGCTGTGGTTGTTGCGCATAGCGTGTTTCAGTCAAGTTCAAAGCAGAAGACACAATAACATTGCAGAGGAAAAAGGAACAGAAAAACTTTATTCTTATCAGCAGAGTTAAATTTGTAATGTTGCAAACAAAACAAACAGTGTAACAAACTTACATAGTCCTTGTAAGCAATACAGAATAAGGCTTCTTCATCTTCATCCAAATGAGAGAGCAGTAGAAATGGTTGAGCAAAATTATTATTATTTATGTATTATTTACAGTATTTATATACCACCTTTCTCAGCCCTGGGGGGACTGAAAGCGGTTTATGCCTGAGCAAAGCCTCTTGCTTCCTTCTCCATCCCAACTGTGCACTTTTCCCCCTGCTTCCTTCTCCATCCCAACTTCAAGGGTTTTCTTGCATGCTGTGCTACACTTAGGTAATAGACATGTAATGGCTCAGATAACAGTCCATTGCTTCTGGAATATGGCCAGACAGCCCAGAAAACTCACAGCAACCCAGTGATTGCAGCCATGGAAGCCTTCGACAACACATTACTCCATGGCTGCAATCACTGGGCTGCTGTGAGTTTTCTCGGCTATCTGGCCATATTCCAGAAGCATTCTCTTCTGACATTTCCCCCACATCTATGATAGGCATCCTCAGAGGTTGTGAGGTCTGTTGGAAACTAGGCAAGTGAGGTTTATATATCTGTGAAAAGTCCAGGGTGGGAGAAAGAACTCTTGAGAACACAGAAATGCTGGACCACTCTAACAACCACCATGTCAGACTACACAGAGAAGCCATTTAAATCTACAAGCTTGTGGACAACTTCAACAGAAAGGAGGAAACTATGAAAATGGACAAAATCTGGCTGCCAGTATTTAAAAAAGCTCTAAAGTCCTAACAGTAAATAAAGAACAACTCAAAATGGGAATTCCAGACAAGAAACAATCAGGGCCAGCTAATCATCTCCCTGGGCAGGAAGCAGCCAAGCCTTGAAGCTTGGCTGCAAATCAAGGTGGCCAATTGTAACATTCACACTTGCCTCATGTAGACTAGAGTTCTTTCTCCCACTTTGGACATTCCACAGATATATAAACCCAATTCTCCTAGTTTCCAACACAACCTTTGAGGATGCCTGCCATAGATGCAGGCGAAACATCAGGAGAGTATGCTTCTGGAACATGGTCATACAGGCCGGAAAACTCACAACAACCCAACTCTTGTCTGCTTGAGACAAGTGTGAATGTTGCAATTGGCCACTTTGATTAGCATTGAATGGGCTTGCAGCTTCAAAGCGCATTCAATGGGCTTTGTTGCCTGGGGAAATCCTTTGTTGGGAGACGCTAGCTAGCCCTGATTGATTCTTGGCTGGAATTCCCCTGTTTTTTGAGTGTTTTCTTTATTTACTGTCCTGATTTTAGAACTTTTTTTTAATACTGGTAGCCAGATTTCATTCATTTTCATGGTTTTCTCCTTTCTGTTGAAATTGTCCACATGCTTGTGGATTTTATTGGCTTCTCTGTAAAGCCTGACGTGGTAGTTGTTAGAGTGGTCCAGCATTTCTGTGTTCTCAAATAATATGCTGTGATCAGGTTGATTCATTCAGCCAGAGAAGTCAGCCATAGCAGAGTACCTGATGAACCAACAGCTAACACCT